ACATGCATGTGAAATATATACACATGAGGTACAGCAGAAATTCCCATCAGTGTTAGGGACCCTGGTATTAACCCTCACTGAGAACCTACTGCAAGGCTGGAGCTGTCATTCATTGATTGATTTATTGATTGATTGATTGATTGATTGATTGACTGATTGGAGGGGAGAGGTTTTTGCTATAGGGCACATGCGCTCGCCAGAAAGACAGAGAGAGACAGAGAGACAGAAAGCGAGAAATCACCCCCCACAGGGGATGGCCACGCCACAATGCCTTCCCCTCCATTCTCCTCTCGGGATCTTGGACACGCACGCACACGCACCCGGCATGAGTTTAAGCCACGGGATCCAGGAATCGAACCGTGGTTGACTACATGGGAGTCCAGCGACACAGCCATTATGCCAAGTGCTGGTCCCTGGAGCTGTCCTTTATACACAGTATTACATTTCATCAGCACAGCAATCCAGCTAATTGGGCTTTACTAACTCCATCACACACGAGGAAACTGGGGCTCAGAGAGGTTCCATAAAGTCAGCTCATTTGCACACCTACAGTGCAGCAGAGCCGAAATTTGATACCAGCTTGTCATATCTCGAGGCCATGTTCTTTACTCTATGCCAATCTAGAATGATTTATATTTTATTTATTGGTTTATGTCTAAGGTTTATATATTTATTTCTTCCATGAGTGAGACAGACAGAAACAGCACCTCAACAGAGCCCTGACACTGTGATCCACCCCCAGCTTCAGTCACCCTTGAAAAGAACCATCACTTTTATTCCTACCTGGCATAAGCAGGGAGATCTCTGGACTGGAACCTGGAACCTTCCCACATCAGACAGACTCACAGGGCAATGTGTTTCACCCTTGTGCCACTGGCTGGCCTCTGATTTATATTTTGACAGAAATTAAGTGGATTTAAGGATATCTCCCGAGTAATGTCACCCTCACTGGTTGTAATATGCTTCCATGAGTGATCCAGGACTGGGGATAAAGAGAACACTTTAAGGGACAGAACATAAATTCTTAGAGGTATGATGCAGCCATGAGACCATTATGATCAGGTGGATGAGAATAGCTGATAGGCCAAAGTGCATCTAATGACAGAGCTCCTGGGGTCAGGTATTACACAGCAATAATCCAACTGGATTCACATAGGCAAGGTCCTGAGTTCACACTCCAGGCCCTCCCAGAGCCCATGTGTGTGCCCGTAAACCAGGCTGGCTGAGACTGGTATGGACCATAGTGGGAACACCTTGTTGGGGGTAACTGTCTCTTTTTCTCTCCTTCTCTCAAGGAAGAGATCAATAAATAAACTTTTTTTTTTAAAGTTTGTTCTCTTTATCAGTCATTTAATAGAGCTCAGTGGTAAGGACAGGTGGCCTGGATTCCAAATTCTAATCCTGCTATGTACTAGTTATGCAGAAAACACTAGAGAGCTGACTTTACTTCGAGACCTTCCTTTCCTCACACAGTCATTCCAGTCAGGTCACAGCGCATCTGTGTTTAAAGAAAAGCAGCAACCTCGGATAACAGAAGAGGGTCCATTGCTAAGTCTATGGAGGCTTGGCCTCATTCGGGCATTAACTGAACTGTACGGTCTTTGGCAAGTTACAAATGGCGAGCTTCTGCTGTAAGATGTGGTTGGCACCGTCTACTAAAGGTTTTGTTATAAGAATATGAGATAATGAGTGTTAATCACAGCTAGACTATATTATTAGTAATGTGCCATATTAAATCATTGTATCATCAAATCATTCACAGTTATTGACAAAATAAGTATAGTTACCACCTCCTTTCTCTTTAAACTTGGACATTATTATAATGTTAATAGGCGACTATAACATAAGATACTACAGACTATTAAAAATATTAATGGTGGGGACCAGCAGGTGGCATGGTGGTTAAGGCACTGGACACTCCCACATGGCCGACCACAGTTTGAGTCCCGGACCTGGTGGCTTGCTTTCTCACTTTCTCTCTCTCTCTGTATCCCTCTCTTGTAAAGTTAAAATAAATGAATGAATAAATAAATTAAATTAAGTTAATCATTCTTTTAAAAAAACTTAGTGCCAATTTGGTAAAAATTGGAGACCTTAGAGTCTGAAAAATGTCTAATTTGGTATTGTTTTTAAAAGATGAACTTCATATAAGTGGAAAAATTTCATTCACTCCTCTTACAGTTTCTAATGTATTTTTCCATGAAAAGCATCTCCTTTAAAAACACATTTCATGGGACCAGCAGTTAGCGTAATGGCTATGTCACTGGACTCCCATGTAGTCGACTGTGGTTCGAGTACTGGACCCGCCGGCTTAAACTCACGCCAGACACGTCTGCGTGCGTGCCCAAGATCCCAAGAGGAGAATGGAGGAGAAGGGATTGTGGCATGGCCATCCCCCCTGGGGGGTGATTTCTCACTTCCTGTCTCTCTGTCTCTCTCTGTCTGGCAAGTGCACCGCCCTATAGCCAAAACCTCTCCCAAAAAAAAGAAAAAAAACACATTTCATTAAATAAAGCGCCTAGTCTCTGAGAAATAAGCGATTAGCACCATTAAGAAAAGCTTTATACTTTTATTGACAAGAAAAATATTAAATATGCTTGCTACCTGATACAATCATTGGGCTGGTAGACACTATCTGTGATCAGTTTATTATGTAAACCACAGAAAATAATCCACCCTTGAGAAACTGCCCCCCAACTCCCTTTCAAAGGAAACAATAAACTGATCCCAAGACAAGATTTAAGCTAATCTTTCCCAAGTAAAGCAAATCAGGGTTACACCCTTGGCTCTTCCTAGTTAAGCAAGTCACAAGAAATTCAAGTAATTGTAGATGAGAGTTGTATACACCTAACCTATATGTTTGTCCACAACCCAACACATGGTTTATGAACCTGAGACAATTTTCTCAAGTTCAGATTACTTTTTGGCTTTACAGGTTTTCCACAGAGGATGAAGACATGAAGTGTATGTGTAAATGTAGATCTTATTGGTGCTGGCGATTTTACGGTATCTGCTAAGTGAACCACCCTCGCTTTTACTCCTATCTCATCCACATGACATCTTAATGACTGTTCATGCTGGAGCCCAGCCCATGCCTTAGGAAACCACCATACACCTGTCCGGAAATGTGACCACTTTAAGGGTACATCTTTTACACTAACACTTACACTCGCTTCTTGTAAGTAGTATGTGAGGAAGCCAGGACAGTGATTTACCTATTCCCTCCCTCAAAAGCTGCATAAAATAGGGCAATTCAAGCCTTTCTCTGCCCAAACTCCTCACTCTACAAAGACTGATTGGTTCTTCTTCTTATTATTATTATTATTATTTAGCTTAAAGAGGATGGGAATTTAAAAATATTTCCCAACTGGTTTGTTCAAATGCCCAAAGAATCTGAAACCAAATGAAGTCTGGCCAGAACACTCTGAAATACGTGCATGAGGTTGTGGGGTTGGTGTCTGGCAATTGCAAAGCCAGGTAGGTAGGAGATTCAAAGAAACTGTGGCATCCGATGTACACCGGCTGGGTGGGGGAGGGAACCACCGGCCGAGGGAGCCCAGAAAGGCTTCAGCGTCTGCAGAGCACATCCTAAGGTTTCTGAGTCGCTAACTCCATCCGCAGCCACCTCCTGGCTGGGAACCCGCCCGAAAGGGAAGAGCAGCGAGCTCGGTTTGGGATGAAGGCAGCGGTCCTGGCCTCAACCACTGGCCTAGACACCTGGCTTCTGGGGCCCACCCGATTCGGCTCAACTCCCCTCCCCGCTCTGGTCCTGCAGGTGAGCAGACGGTGCTCTCGGTTCCCTTCGGAGACCTTCAAATTCCTCTCCTCCCAAAGTGCTAACTTCAGGTACTCGGGGGTGGTGCGAGGAGAAGAGACCAGAAAGGGCAGGCCCCGGGGGCGTAAGAGGTTTTTGAGACAGGCGAGAACGCGACCGCCCCCGGCCGCGGCCGCGTTGCTCCCGCCCCCGGCCCCGGCCGCGTTTCTCCCGGTGTGCCCCTCCACTCCCGCCGCCGCCCAGCTCGCAGAACCTGCGGCGGCCACGCTGAGCCTGGAGCGGGGCTGGGGTCCCTCGTGCCGACGCCGGGGCCAGCGTGGGATGGTTGGCGGCTTCTCGAGCTGTAGCGGCGGATGGCTCTAAGGACCACGCTCAGGGCAGGCGCCCACAGTCTGCCTGTGGGAGAGCCGGGAGGAGGCTGGGCGCGAGCGAGGCGGGCGAGTCCTGGCTCCGGCGCGCCTAGCGGACCGAGTCGGGTGGCCCTCTGCATCCTTCCGCGGGTCCCCTGCCCTTACCTCTGGGCGCGAGGCGGCCAGCTGGAGAGGCGCTGGGGAGCAGTGAGCTGTCCCCGAGCCGGACTCTGCGGCGG